GAATATTTTGACCGTAATATTGCGTAAATCTTACGATATTGTAAACTTACGTAATATTTTAACCTTAATATCACATAAATCTTACTAAATTGTAAACTTACGTAATATTTTGAAATTTTTTTAAATATTATGCCATAAACTTTCATAAACTTACAAAATCGTAAACTTACGCAATTTTTCGCGCTATAAAATTTCCTGATGTAGTTATCTCCATATCTAGATCTTTTAACAAGGACAGGGAGATAATACTACCAGCTGATCCTGAATCCAAGATCAACGGAAATTGTATATGTTTGATCAAAGCATCACAATACAAGGCGGAAGACTTGCTAGCACTTGATGTGTTCGCCTGCATCAAATCTTGTAGTTCCGCTATACCTCCATCTTCTGGCATCTCGTTATTAACAGTGTTCCTGGTTTGAATTTTCTCAGGATCCTCATCCTTTTTTCGTATAACCAGTTTTCGTAGCTGTTTTGCTATCGTTAGACCGAACTTAGGATTCATCGCCAACAATTGTCCATTCGTGATGTTGGCTACCTGGTCGAAAAACTGTTGCAGGGTATAGGGTTCAACCATCTTATTGATCGGAGCGGTAGTGGTGGATTTCTTTTTGGTATTTTTTTGTAATACCGTTTTTCTGGGTTCCGCAGTTTTTACGGGTTGTTTCTTCTTCGGATAAAATTGTGTAGCCCATATCTGAGCTTCATTCTCTTCTACCGTTTTATCCTTTGCTATTCCTTCTAAAGGATTTAACCTGGTTTTGCTTCTCGTAGTTCTCGTAGCGGGATAAGTTTCTAATAATGTAAGGTTTGAGGGAATTGTATATTGGCTTGTACTCTCACCCTCATGAGGTACACCTCCTAGTTTAAAGATTGATCCTTATCAGTTTCTTGTGGGACTAATTGGGCTAGTAATTGTTGTATTTGGGCGAGTTGATTATTATTGGAATTGCCTACACTAGTTGGTTGAGGATTAGATCTTCCTTCACCATTGTTTGCGACTGATGTCGTATTGTTATTTCGGTCAGGGCAATTCCTTACTATGTGCCCAGGCTGTCCACAGGAGTAACAAACGATCCTTCTATTTAACGATTGTTGAGGCTGCGGCGTCACTTGCTGCGGATTTCGATAATTGTTTCCCCTATATCCCTTATTTCCAGTACTCAACTGTTGCACCTGTCTAGTCAAATCTTGAATGGCTTTGTATAGGTCTTCCATCTGAGTATTAGTGCCTGCAGGAGCGAATTTATTAAGATATGCGTTTACCGCATGTTGGTCTTGATGGGTTAACTCATAGGCCTTCGCTCGGTCTACTGCGGCATTCCAAGTCTGATCGTTATGGGGCTTTACGGTGACGTACAAGTCAGGCAACAGCCCGTTAACAAATTTACGAGCTTTAATAGCTTCTGGATATGCGAAGGCGTTAGTTTCCACCCTTCTATACAATTCTTGTAGAGCAGCGACGTATGTGTTTACGTCTTCGCCAGGCTGCTGTCTTCTTTGTTCCAATTCTGTGGTCCAGATTTTGATCAAGGTTTGCATTCTGAAGGCAGCGGGGAAATTCACTATAAAATCGGTATTGTTATTGTTGCCAGTCCATGCAACAATCTTATTCGGATTATTATTTGGTAATGCTTGATTGGCATTCCACCAAGTAGAGGCAGCTCCTTTTAGGTATGCTGGTACGACTTCTAATTTTCGTACATTTGCAATACCATTTGCATTACAGGATCTGGTGAAATCCTCTAACCACGCAACTGGGTCCTGGTTGCTGCCATAGAAATATGGCAACTCGGCCACCTTTCCTTCTCGTCTAGGCGGGTTGGCAATGGCCTGTGTGTTTCCGGCCAAAGCATTGTTGGTGTTAGGTAATGCTTGGGTCAATGCAGCAATTGCTGCGCGTAATTGCTGAAAGTCCTGTTGGTTAGGTTGTGCCATGTTAATCACCGGTAGGGCTACTGGAGCTGGGTTATTTGGTGTATCGTATATAGGTGGTAATGGAATGTGAAATCAGGGAATATCTTCCTCGGAATTTTCAGTTTCGGTGTCACTTAAAACTTCAGGTTCTGGTGAGGTGGTAGTTTCACTAACTTGATAAAGGACTTCGTTAGGGTCCTGTTGAAATCCGTTAGTTAGTTTATAGGCTTTGATAAGGTCCTGACGCAATAGAGTATAATCTATTGTTGGTTCTATATCAGCGTATCGGATGCTGAACAATAGGTTATGTATAGCGTTATCGATATCTGTGTTAGTAATCGAATACGCAACCTCTTCAAAATATTGTTGAGTGTATCGGGTGTATTCTACAACCGGATAGTTGGAGGAAATCCAGTCCAAAAAGTGCTGAAAAGTGGGTGTTAAGGGAATTTCTGATGGGTAACAGTTATTACACGAAAGGTCACGATGATAGGCGGTTACGTTATCTAGCCCTAACTGTCTATGTATAGCGTCGTGTATAGTATTACGATCAAAATGGTTTTGGAACATAAAAGGGGATTAAAGGTAGGGATCGGAAATTCTGGCAGAAGGCACCAATTTGTTGTATCAGTTCTTTACGCTTAAAATTATTAAGCAATTTATGTGGTTAGGTAGCAGAAGGTTTATGTAGTGTATAGACAAACAATATATCAAAATTATCCGATCAGACGTGTTGTATAGCGCTGTACGTCGGCATATACTTCCAAACACGAATAAAGGATTTCACTTGATAAAAACTGTCACTTTATAACTTTAATAAAAACTTTATTTATTCCCTTTTTATTACAACAAGAAAATTGACCTATATTTATAATAAATTATACATATAAGAAGAAATTTAATATATTTACTATGTATAATATGACTAACATGTTCAATACGTTGATCATAACCAACATGTTAATCAGGTTCGACATGTTAATCATGTTCGGCATATTAATTATGTCCGACATGTTAATCATGTTAAACATTTGCAACATCGATCAATTTCGGAGTGGCACATGATGATCGCCGACATGACACTATTTTACCATGTTTTGCTAAAGTAGTAGTAAATACTATAGGAGCTTGTTAGTATCAACTTTAGAAATAATTTTTTTCAGTTGACCAATATCATAATTAATAATATAATATCGCCATCTAAATTACTATCAGTAACATTTTCTTTATCTTCACAAATAAGTTCTTTAACTTTAAGCCATCCTTTAAAATATCTTTCAACAACTTCTTTTAATTTACCATAAACAATCCGTTATATCTGTTATTGTTACACTTATTTTGATATGTGCACACTAATTTTCGTGTAATTTTGGTAAAATCCAAAATTATACTTCACAAGCTTATCCTCATATAAGGTCAATAACTGATAAACTACGATTGACACAAACTCAAATAATAAATTTAACCGAAAATCTAAATAATCAAATTATAAATTAATTTAAACAGATTTTTTTTTCTTTTGAAAAGTAATGTTTTATTTTCATAATTTACATTCATTTAATAATTGTTTTAATGCACCATCAACCCACCAAATCATAAGTAAAACATCATCAGCTTGTTGATGATAAGATTGATTAGGATGTAATAAATCATATACACGTTTTCCTTGCTTGTGTTATAGCAGTATTATTATTCTTCTCCATTAATAAATTTTCTTCATCATCATTGTTTTTATTCATAGAATTGGCTATTTTATTATTTTCATTATATAAAGCGGTAACCACCTGTTGGCCCACGAAACAAGCTTCAAATACTTTTTCTAATAATCTGTTCTTTTTTTCTTTTTATTATTCCTATTCACTATTTTATTATCATTGTCTTTTTCACCTAATTTCTTTTGGTTGATTGGATCTTCAACGTAATCTTGTTTTTTTCATTTTCTAATTTCGCAAAATCTAATACAATTTTAATAATATTCATTAAAGAAGTTCCACAAACCTTGTATTGTTTTAACCAATTCAGCTTGAGCTTCACTTAACTTGCTTTCTTCCATTAATTCACAATTAGCTAAAATACTATGAAGAGGAGTTCTTAATTCGTGAGAGATAGAAAAGATGAATGCACCTTTTTGCTCTATCAGCGACGATAACTCTTCTTTTAATACTTCACTAACGACATTTATACCAAAATTACTCAAATAAACACGCTCTTCATTTTTAAATTGTCTTGGATCTTTGTCATAGCGATTAAGAAACCAAAAGCATTTGTGTACCATCATAAATCGGTACAACAATACCGGAATGAACATAATCAGGAAAGAGGTCGGCAATGGAGGTAAAGAATTTTGATAAATGCAAACCTTGTGAATGAGCTTGCACTAAATAGGCGAAATAAAGAAGCTTTTACAGCAGCTTCAGAAGATAATTAAACTTCACCAGCGGAAGTGAGAGATCTTAAATGATTTGATGATACATCAGGAAGTGGAGCATCTACTTGAAGTACGAGAAGTTATAGATAAAGGACGAAAATAAAAACAAGGCATCTCTAATAAATAAACTGAATCTACGTATAAAGTGTCCCTCATTAATTTAACTGTCATATTAAAGCATAAAATCACCAAAAGTAGATTTATTTTATTTTCATTATTATTAGAATTATTGGCTAACTCACCTAACTGAATTTCCAAACAAAATCTACCAAATTCAGCTATACTCTCTTGTATCTTATTTCTTACACGTAAATGTAAAGTATCAGTCCATAAATCTAATTCTCGCATGAAACTTTAGCAATTTCCCTTAAACTTTAACGATCCTTTTTGAAAAACTATCCCTAGGTTCACGATCGATCACACATATCGTATCACCATCATCTGTTCGTAAAGGGAGCACCAGTATAAAAATCTTATTAAGGAGAATCAGTAACTAAAGGATTATTACGAAATCTCCAATCCTTAGTAGCAATCAAGTTCTACGAATAGTTCATCATTTTCTTATAAGGATAAATCTAATTGTAACAGCCTGTTACGCGTCTTATTTGTAACAACCCCCAATTTTATCCAATTAAAATTTAAAATCAGGCGTAATGTAAACAAAAACAAAAGATCAGTCGTGTAACCAAGACAAAAGAATTTTTTAAAAAATTTCAAGAAACTGCTTATAACTTGAAATTTTGTCTATGAAACTGTCTTAAGTACATTAAGTAAAAGTTTTCCAAATTAAATTTTGCATATAAAAATTTTATTTGTAAACCACATACTAAATTTATTATTAAAAAAAAATAAAAAAGGATGTTACAAATAAGATATGTAACAGGCTGTTAAAAATACATTTATTCTTCTTATAATAATACAAAAACTTATCTCGCTAATAGTTTCACTGCATCTCATACCATCTTCAGCTTTAAACCATTGATGATCATATTTAAAAGCGGTAGTATCATTGGTTATTGATGCTTTAAGATGTTCTTTTGATAGTAATACAGTTACAATACGAGCAAAATTAACATCATCATTTGATTTATTAAGTATTTGACATCTCATAACGCTCTTCTACGTTAAACTTCATTAGGAAACGTGGGAGAAGGAAAGTAATGATTATCATCTAATCATCATCTTAGCAGTTATTTTCGTAATTACCGTCTACTTCATTTTCTTAGATAAACATATATTTTTGTTCATCTTCAAGTTCAATTCTTAAGTTATTAAACTAGGAAAACGGAAATCGTTGAAAGTCTATAACAACTGAGACTAAGTTCGACTGAAAATTTTCAAATTTTAATTGTAAAAAAAATACTAAAACTTTCTTTTTTTTTAAAAAAAAAAAAGAAAAAAAGAAAAGAAAAATGATTATGATTCGTATTATTCATTTCAAAGACAATTATTTTTAGGGGTTCAAAAGGAAATGACACGATTGTCAAAAAAGGAAACAGTGGTGAATTTTGTGGAATGACGTTTTGCCAATCAAATTATTAACCAGGGGATAACCAAAATTTACAATTTCGTCTCCAGAGAAGTCCTTCGCTTTGCTCCGATTCGATATAAAAAAGATAAATTAAAAAGTAACGAAGGAATTACTTATATTTTCCTCCTTTTAAGTATCAAAACATCATTTTACGTAACATCACTTTATATTTTTTCTGTAGGATTATGGTAAAATTGTTTATTAAGTTCCATTACGAGACGTAATATTGAATTTTGAAACAGAACGAAAGAGAAAAGATAGAATTTAGAAAAAGTTTATTCGAACAAATTTATACAAAATAATTTGTTGTGTAACATGGAAGCACATGATATGTCTGCGCCTGATTATTCTGGATAATACAGTTCCGGTTAATGAAATTTCATTATTAGCCGTTCCCTTTGCAAACCGGAAATTTATTTTTTTTTTCAAATACTTTTTTTTCGGTTCTTATCAAACCGAAAGAACTTTTTAATTGGTTTGTTATATTATATAAAAATATTAATCGGTCTCGGTTGATTGGCTTTTTCTAAAACTAATTTTTCTTTTGATATAAAAAATTTCTTAGACAAATTTTTTTAAAAAATCACACATAAAAAATTTAATAATCAATAAAACTTTTTTTTAAAAAAAATATTTAAAATAAATAGAATTTTAAAAAAAAATGAAAAAATTAAATGATCAGTAAGGACCCCGAGCAATATATATATAGGTAACAAGAAAGGTCAAAATTTTTATAATAGCTCTACGCAAGGTTTTTATTAAGATAAATAAGCAAACTCAACATGTGACTTCACAAATTGCCCAAAAATAAGCAATTTAACCATATGACTTTATAATATTATATTTTACAAAAATTATTTGATCAAATTTTCTCGCATTTATGATTTACAATTTCACTTTTTTCAACAGTAATATCATCTTAGCTAAAATATCTGTCTTAAAATTTTTTTCATCTCCTATTAACTTTTGCATATTAGTATAATACCATCGCTTATATAGTTAAATGTTATATAATGCATTATTAAATAATACCAAATTTACTCAAAAAATAAGCAATTGTAATATATGACTTTTCAAAAATTCTGTGAAAATAAGGAAAATAAGCAAATGAAAAATATGACATTGGCAAAAAATATCATTAATTTTACGCAAATCTAACCTCTAACTGTGGCTAAAATAGCATGTGACTAAGCAAATGATATTGTTACCTATACATATATTGCTCGGGGTCCTGATCAGTAGATAGTAGTTTAACGAATGATCTGACCGATAGTTTTAAGAGATGAAAAATGGATGTAAATGTCCTTTCATTTATTATAATATTTGCATGTAAAAATTAATATATTAAATCAATAAATAGTGTAGTTAGTACTAGTTTGGATTAGAAATTTTTTTCTGGTAATATTTATTCCAATACGTGAATAACGTGATAGGACGACCTATATCATGTTAATTAAATCTTATATGTGCTGTATCATCAGTTTTTATTACAATTTACAAATATATTTTCATTTAAATCATTCTTTCATAGAATCAAATATCACTACAGTATATCCGTTGTTATACTGTAATTATTTCAATACCAAATAAAGTTTTTAATTACGAAAAAAGTTTTTTTAATATATTTTCAAAAAAAAAAATTTTTTTTTTTTTTGCATTTTTCAAACCTTCAGTTAAAATGCAACTTTACATGTTAAAGAAGATAGCTGATCGGTGAATTAATTATTTTAAGTCTAATTTTCCTTAAATAAACTTATTTACATCTTATAAATAGACTTTTTTAATATTTATGTCAATATATTACTAGTATAAAGTTTATTAATAAATTATAAAAAGCGTATTTTATAATAATCATTCCACCAACAATTGACTTTATTGATGATGTGACAATTGCTGTTTTAGCACCACATGATTTCGAAGATCTTAACGTTACATAAGGAACTACGTCGCAACTACAGTATATTGTCTAAATTAAACGATTTCAGCAAAGTATTATTCCTTTATTTTTATTAAAATACTGATTTTTTAAAACAAATAAAATAAAAATTGCTTATCTTAGACCAAACTAATAATCTAAAAATACTGCGTCTAATTTTTTCACAGAATATTAATTGTCTATACAATTTAATGTATTGGTTTGAGCTGATCCTCTAATAGAAAATTTGTAATGTATATATATACTATACATAAAATAAATGAAAATGCAGAGAAGAAAAAAAAAATTTTTTTTTTTTAACAATAATAACTTAATGATTAATAATATAAACTAGTAGAATATAAGTCTCAGTGGACTTCATCTTCATTTTTGGTTAGTATTATTTTATTTCTTTGTTAAAATCCTAGTACTTAGTTAGTACTTACCAAATTATCCTAATAAACAATCGATTTTTTTTAAGGAAACCGGAAGACCGACCTTTTTTTTTATTAAATCGGTTTTTTTAATGAAGTTCGTTAAAATGAATTAAACTCTAAATATTTGTTCTTTCTATTTAATAAATATTACACCTTGCTACAACATTACAAATATATATATATATATATTCGAAGAAAAATAGTACGGGAACATGAAAATATGAAATTACTAAAAAAACCATGAGACATAATGCCGGACTCAGAAAAATCAGAATATTTTAATTGACTCAAAATCTCATATAAATTATAATTCAAATTATACTTTACACCCATCACTATTATGCAAACTTGAGCTGCTTTACGTTTTTAGCACTTTTTGCTGCTTTCACTATGGCGAATTTTTCAATCACCATTATTAGGATCGATTTTCATTCCTTTAATGCTATAATTACCAAAAGTTGAGATATTACTATTAAAGGAAACAATATTTTGACATACAAAAAAAATATATAGATAAAAATGAAATGATGACTATTATTTACCGGCTCATTTTGTTTCAGAATTCACAAATATATTTTTAAAAGAAATTTAAAGTTTTATAACGCATTTAATAATGACCTATAATCAGAAACTGCGCTAGTAGAATAAAATTTTTTTTTTTAAATTTTTTTTATTTTTTTTATTTATTTTAAAATGATTTGTCACATTCATAGTAGCGAATATGATCATTATGTCTCTAAATGGACTGGTAAGAAAAGTTAGTATTTACGAAAGATATTATATTATAATTCGAAAAAAAAATTTTTTTCTAACACAGTGAAATCTTGCTTTTAATGAAAATAATTACAAGCATAATAGCATGATGTTGTTGTGAAGTTAGCCGAAAAATAATTAGCCGCAACGTCAGTGATCCGGACCCTAAATCGTCGTGGAACTCCAGGAGATTTTCTGCGATTAAACCGGTCCGGATGATCGGCAATCGGCATCATTATTTGTTGACGTACATAGGTAGTACATTGTTGCATATTCATTTAGTTAGTTTGATGAATTTCGGAGTTAGGACACCGGCTTAACTTTTTTGTTTCAAATTCATATTTTAAAAAGAATTTTAAAGCTTTATAACGTATTTTATTATGTCATATGGTAAAAATAAATTAATTAATAATGCACTTAGGAGGTCATACGCATTAATAGATTACAATGTTCATAATGATACACACAAACGATATAAATTTCAAAAACAAACACTTCTTGATGATGAATCACTTACAAAAAAAGAAAAATCTGAAGCAATAAGAATAATAACTAAAAGTTATGATGAAGAAAAGATTGTTCATAACAAAGGAACAAAAAGAATTTGTGAAAATTGTAACCAAGAATGTTTAGCTATAACATATTGTGAACTTTGTGTTCGAAATTATTTAAAAGCAAAATTTTCAAGTTGGACATCTGGAAATGATAATATTGATAATTTAATACAAGAATGTCAAATGAAAACACTTGCACCACGTCTAATACCAGAATGGATTCCATACAATAATTTACAAAATATTAAATACCTAGCAAAGGGAGGATTTTCAGAAATTTATACAGCAGTTTGGATTGAAGGAACATATGAAGAATGGGATTCTAAGGAACAACAATTAAAAAGATTTGGAAGTCAAATAATAGTACTTAAAAAATTAGAAAATGTTGAAAATGCAAATCAAAATTGGTTTGAAGAGGTTTGAATTTAAAATATTTTAAATTTCATTAATAATATCTTAAATTTTAATTATATTTTTTATTTATAGGCCAGATCACATTTAAATATAAGCAATAAATGGAATGAAGTTGTCCAATGTTATGGTTTAACACAAGATCCATCAAATGGAAATTACATGCTTGTAATGAATAAACTGGATACAGATTTAAGAAAATATTTACAACAAAATCATAATCAACTTACATGGAAAGAAAGAATTCAAATTGCCATTGATATAATTAATGCACTTGAAAAAATTCATTATGAGAATGAAATCCATAGAGATTTGCATTCCGGAAATATATTATTTAGAAGTAGATTTCGTATTAGTGATCTTGGATTTTGTGGGCCTGCAGCTAAACCATTAAAAAGTATATATGGAAATCTTCCTTATATAGCACCTGAGGTTATTATTGGAAGAGAACAGACTTTTAAATCTGATATTTATAGTATTGCAATGCTTATGTGGGAAATATCATCTGGACAACCACCATTTAATAATTTTGAACATGATTACGATCTTGCAATGAATATTGTTAATGGTATAAGACCAAAAATTATACCAGGAACTCCTTTAGAATATAAAAATTTGATGAAGCAATGCTGGGATGCTGATCCATCAAAAAGATCTGACATTTTTACACTTCGGAGAAAAATGGGAGATATTAATTTATTTTATCAAACTAAATCAAGTGAATTATCTCAGCTTGAAGAAAATAATAATTTTGAGGTAGAAAACCATACCGGCAGTAGCAAACTATTTACAAGTAAACTTCATCAATTTGACAATCTTCCTGAACCAAGAAATGCAACAGAAGGTACTATTATATTAATCATTATTAATTGTTTAAAAAGACTAAATTAATAATGTATTTTTTTTTTAATTTAAATAATAATAGAAGAACAAGAAGGTATAAATTAAGCAATTTCTTATATAATTTTAATTTATAAATAATGATGTTAATTATATATATATTTTTTTTAGCATTTCATAGTAACAAATCATATAATTTTCATATTCCTGATAATAGTAAGTGCAATTAAATTTAAATATTATATAACAGATAACGGGACGTTATTTATTGATTTACTTTGCTTTTTTTAGTTGATGATTTTAATAAATCAAGTAGTAAGAAAAATAGTACTTCGAAAATAAATAGCATATTTAAAGGTAATTGAATAACATTTTATTTTAACATAATCAAATGAATGAATAACTTATATTTAAGGTTTTTTAGTTAGCAGCAAAAAGTCATCCAATATATTTAAAAGAAGCTCAAAAAATGGCAAGTAAAATAATTTAAAGTACTATGTTAAGTTTTATCAATATTAAACATGATTTAATTTATTTATTTAGATATTCAAAATGATTTTAAGATTGAAACAATGCAACAGCAAGTAAAGAAACTTCATAACAATGATGATGGTATGATGATAAAACAATTATTTAAATTCTTAAAATAATTATTCTACAGTATTTTATGATTTTTAATTTTATATTTGATAGACGAAGATGAAGTACATAACAATCTTAACCTTCATTCAAAAGAACAAGATGAATTGGAACTTCCTGATAGTAAGAATTATTTTTAAATGTTTAAAATTTACGTTAAATTACTAAATTTAACGTAATATTTTTTTTTTCTTTTAGATATTTAGATACGGAGGAATTATATAAATTAGATAATTTTCTTATCATAAATTATTTAAACACTATGACTTGATGAGATTTTTTTCAAGACTTCTTAGTTTGTAATTTGAATAATTTATTTTTTTTATTTTTATTTTTTTCTTTCTTATTATATTATTATATTAGTAGCGTAAACTGAACGCGTTTTTATTAAATAAATTTTAAAGTATATTTTTAAATTTAAATTTTATGATACAAAAATATATATATAAATATAAATATAAATAGCGTATAAAAAAATAAAGTCACGATGATCGTTAAAATGAATGAAAATTTCTTTGCCGAAATTATCAGAATCATTCATAATTCTGGATCTAAAACACATACAATATCCTTCACGACCGCATCTCGGTGAAATAGCGTTCTCACTAACACCCGACATATATTTATTTACATTTTTAAAAGGGAAAAGTGTTTAAAATTAAATTAAGTTATATAATGTTCGTTTATTTGTCTGTTGAAATATTTAATTTAGATATAAATTTTTTTTTAAAAAAAATAATTAATTTATATTGATAAAATATTCGCCACTCCGTCTCTTGTTAAATTTATAAATAATCTTTTTTTTTTCTTATTTTTTTTTAAAGGGTTTAATGAATAAAAATTAAGTACAATGCGTGATAAATGTTTATATAGTAATATATAATGTTTATATGAACTTTTTTTTTTTTAATACAAAAAAAGAATGGAAAGAAATTTAAAAAAAAATATCTACAACTAGAAAATAAAAATAAATAAATAAAAAAAAATTAATAATTTTTTTTTTAAAAAAAAAAAAAAATAAAAACGAATGAAAAAACAATAAATTAGTTTGGTTATGATTATCATGTACTTCCTCCACTACTACTATTACTACTACTATTACTACTTCCAACACTACTATTTTCACTTGATTGTTCATTTTTTTCTGACCATTTTTTTAATACTTTTTCCAACATTTTTAAACTAACAGGTTTAGTTAAAAATCCATCAACTCCACTTTCAAAAGCTATATCTTTATCTTCTTCACTAGCTAATCCAGTTAAAGCAAATATTAAAGAACGAGAACGTTTAGTAATAGTATTGATAGTATTATTTTCAATAATAGGAAATGATGGTGATGAAGGTATTGGTGATGGGGATGGTAAAGGTGATGTTTTGGATTTTGTTGTTGATTTAGTAGGTATTTTTATCGATATTTTAGGTTTTAATAATAAACTTGTGATTGAAAATGAATTGTTTTGAAAAGAGAATTGATCAGGATTTGATACTCTTCTTTGTAAAAATCTATTCTTTTGAGTAAATGGTTTTAAATGATTATTAGATTCTGAAACTGGTGATGAAGAAGTAGTTTTGTTAAATAATGATGATGGAGGAAATTCAAAATTTGTAATTGTAGGTGATGCAGCTGGAGATTTAGTGAGTGTCGTATTTGTTGTTGTTCTTGCTGTCGATAATAATGAAAATTTCGGATTGTTGAATTCTTCTTCAATTTTACGTATTTCTGCTGTTGCTACATTGCCGTTCATTACAGGCATTTGTATGTCTACAAATAAAAAAAATTTATATATATATTTAAATACATATTTTTTTTTAATTAAATACACGTGTACATAGATTTACTATAAAAATTTACTTACCCATTAATACGATATCAAATCCTTTTCGATTAGGAAATTCTCCATCATCATCTTCTAATGCTTTTTTAAATTTTTCAACTCCAATAGCTCCATTTTCAGCTTCATCAAACCTAATACCACGTTTTTTCAAAAATGTAGCTAAAATCATTCTATTGACTGCATTATCTTCAACCACTAAAACTCTAGGACCTAAATTACAACTCAATGAATTCACTGATTTAGATTTTTTCAATTCATTTAAAGGTGGAGGGTTAATATTTAGTGATTCTGACATATTTGGTAACGAAGTTGACATTGCGGTAGGCGTTGCACAAGGTGAAGTGGAAGGGGTAAGTAAAAAAGTTGATTTCGGAATAGGTAAAAATTTTGGTTCTTTATTTCCAGACGGTAAATGAAGATTTGGAAGTGTGGTGGAACGGTTAAAACAAGGTCGTAAGGGTGGTGCAACGGAAAGTAATGATGAATCACGATCAGATTTATTTAAAGGATCGTTAATATTTGGAGAAATTGATGATGATTTTTCTGAAGAATTATAACTAATATAATCTTTTGAATTATCATCTTCTGAAATTGGTGGTGTCATAATCAATTTTGGAAAATATGAATTTTCCTCTTCTAATAATTTTTCATCATCTTGTTGACTTGAAAGTACAGAAACAATAGCTTTCTCTAATTTACGAGGTCCACATGGTCGTGTAAGGATGACAACTTTTCTTCTTTTTCTTTTTATAAGTTGAGTTTCTTCAATTTCTTTCTGTAATTTTTCAACAAAATCAGCTATTTTACCATGTTTTGCTAAAGTAGTAGTAAATACTATAGGAGCTTGTTTAGTATCAACTTTAGAAATGATTTTTTTAAGTTGACCAATATCATCAATAATAAATATAATATCACCATCTAAAGTACTATCAGTAACATTTTCTTTATCTTCACAAATAAGTTCTTTAACTTTAAGCCATCCTTTAAAATATCTTTCAACAACTTCTTTTAATTTACCATCAACACATTTAACTACAATTCTTTTTTGTTTGACCTTTTCAAGAATAATTTTTCGTTGTTTTTCTTCAAAATCTTTAATTAAATTATCATTTTCATTATTAAAAGAATCAAAAGTATTACTAAAATCTCCTAAATCATCATTTTTATTATAATTCATTTTAATTTCTTCATTTGCTTGATCAAGATCTAACCAAATTCTAAATCTTGTACCAACTCCTACTTCACTTTCAACATCTAATTTACCTCCCATTTTTTCTACTAATAATTTTACTATAGATAATCCTAATCCTGTACCAACTTGTAAAGAATTTTCTTGAGAAAATGGTTGAAACATATTCGTTGATAAAAATGATGGTGATATACCACATCCTGTATCAGTTATTGTTATTAACGCGTGAATTTTATTTGATGATGATGATGATGATGATGATGTATCCGTTGTTGTTGTTGTTGTATCTTGTACTCCTGCATGTTTCTTATATTGATCACTTAATGATGAATACGATAATGATGCTAATGAAATTAAGACATATCCTTTCTTCGTAAATTTCATGGAATTCCTATTTTAAAAAAAATATAATATATATTAATAAACTCGAATAACGTTTAATTAAGACCGTTCCAATTTAACTATTTGCTTAACGTCTCATTTTTTTTTTAAAAAAAAAATTGGGAAAAAATGTTGTTACGCTCGTACAAACAGGTGAAAAGGGAACAAATGAAGGGAACAAGAGAAAAGGGATAGACATTAAACAAACAACTAAGTTGGAACGGGGTTGTGTCAATCCGTTATATCTGTTAATGTTACACTTATTTCGATATGTGCGCTCTAATTTTCGTGTAATTCGAATAAAATCCAGAATTATACTTAAGCTTATCCTCATATAAGGTCAATAACTGATAAATAACGGTTGACACAAATTCAAAAAAATAAATAAATAAATAAATAAATAATAAATTTACCCGATAATCTAAATAATCAAATCAAAAAATTAGTTTAACGAGATTTTTTTTTTTTTAAAAAAAAAATTAAATATCATATATAACTTACATTCATTAATAATTGTTTTAATGCACCATCTTCAGCCATTACCCACCAACCAGCATCTCTTGGTTCAACATCAATCATAAGTAAAACATCATCAGCTTGTTGATGATGAGATTGATTAGGATGTAATAAATCATATACACGTTTTTTCCTTGCTTGTGTTATAGCAGTATTATTATTATTATTATTATTATTATTATTTTCCATTAATAAATTTTCTTCATCATTATTTTTATTAATAGAATTGGTTATTTTATTATTATCATTATATATAGCTGTAACCATTTGTTGACCCACAAAACAAGCTTCAGATACTTCTTCTAATAATTTAACTAAATCAATTCGCTCCTTTTGTTCTTTTTTCCTTTTATTATTATTATTATTTCTATTCATTAATTTATTATTATTGTCTTTTTCGGATAATTTCTTTTGATTAATTGGATCATCAACGTAATCTTGTTTTTCACTTTCTAATTTCGCGAAATCTAATACACTATTAATAATACTTATTAAAGAAGTTCCACAACCTTGTATTGTTTTAACCAATTCAGCTTGAGATTCATTTAATTTACTTTCTTCCATTAATTCACAACTTGCTAAAATACCATGAAGAGGAGTTCTTAATTCATGAGATATAGAAGAAATGAAAGCACCTTTTGCTCTATCAGCAACGATAACTCTTCTTTTTAATACTTCACTAACAACATTTACACCAAAATTACTTAAATAAACACGTTCTTCATCTTCAAATTGTCTTTGTGGATCTTTTGTCATAGCTATCAAGAAACCAAAAGCATTCTGTGTATCATCGTAAATGGGTACAACAATACCGGAATGTACATCATCAGGAAAGAGGGTCGGTAATGGAGGTAAAGAATTTTGATAAATACAACCTTGTGATTGAGTTTGCATTAAATAAGTGAAATAAGAAGTAATTATAGAAGCTTTTAAAGCTTCAGTAGATAATTCAATTTCACCAACAGAAGCTAAAGATCTTAAATGACTTGATGGTACATCAGGAGGAGGACCGGTTAAAAAGAAATTATTTGAATTACGAGAAGTTATAGATAAAGGACGAGAATAAAGACAAGGCATTTCTAATAAATAAACAGAATCTACATTTAAAGTGTCTCTCATTAATTTAACAGCCATATTAAAACATTGTTTCATAATAGGATCACAAATAGTAGATTTTTTCTTATTTTCATCATTATTAGAATTATTATTAGCCAATTGAATTTCCAAACAAAATTTACTAAATTCAGCTATACTTTCTTGCATTTTATTTCTTACACGTAAACGTAAAGTATCAGTCCATAATTCTAATTCTCTCATGACAACTCTAGCATATTCTTTTAAATTTTCACGATCCTTTTTTGAAAAACTATCTCTAGGTTCACGATCGATCACACATATCGTACCAATATTATAACCATCATCAGTTCGTAAAGGAGCACCAGCATAAAATCTTATAAAAGGAGCATCAGTAACTAAAGGATTATTACAAAATCTCCAATCTTTAGTAGCATCAAGTACTACAAAAGGTTCACCATTTTCTTGTAATATAGCATGACCACAAAAACTTATTTCTCTAGTAGTTCCACTACATCCCATACCATCTTCAGCTTTAAACCATTGATGAGTCGTATTAAGAAGTGATATCATTGATATTGAAGTTTTAAAATGTTCTTTTGATAATGCTACTATACGAGTAAAATTAACATCATTTGATGTATTAAGTATTTGAAATCTCCATAACGCTCTTCTACGTTCAACTTCATTAGGAGGCATGGGAGGAGGAAGGTAATGATTATCATCTAAATCATCATCTAAATCATCATCATCATAAATACTTTCATAATTACCATCTACTTCAATATTATAATCAACAAAACATTTACTTTGTTCACAATCATCTTCAAGACCTTTAATAAAAGAAGTTATGGCATCAGCTTCAGCAGTAGAATTTAATTCACAGACAATTTTACTTCTACGACAATCAACAGTTTTACTTCTTCTAAGAGAATTTGGTTTTTTTGGAGTAGCCATAGGATTAAATTTTCCTTGAGCATAATTATAAAGGAATTCTTTCCATTCATCAGTATTATATTGATCAAATTGTATATCGGAATCAGGGGAGGTAGCTAATAATGAAATATCAACTTCACCACTATTAGGAGATGATAATACTTTATCAATAGAAGAAACTTGTTTTGGAGAAGGTTTAAAACGAAATAACGCACTGTTACGACGAGAAGATACATTGTTGTTAATATTATTGTTATTATTATTATTATTATTCGTGATAGGAAATTTTTCTTTTATTAAAGTTTTCCATTCCACATCTTTATAATATTTACTTGGATTCGATAATAAAATCGGTATCGCTATAGATTTTCTACGAATAATATTGTTATTATTATTAATATCATTATTATTATTAATTCCTTGTATAGAATTTGAAATTTCTTTATCAAATTTATAAGATTTAAATATAGAAGTATCCAAGAATTTTTTTCGTACAAAAGATTTTATCGGATTTGGTTTTGAGGATGAGGATGAAGAATTTGGAGGAGATGATGGCATTTTAATTGGAATAGGATATGTTTATTATGTTTGTTGGTAATGTAATTGTTAAATGTGATTGATGGTTTAATGTGATGGTTTTTATGTGATTTGTTATTTCGACTGCGGCAAAAATATGATTGTAAATGCCTTTTTGATTTTTTTGAAAAAAAAAAGAAAGAAATAGGATTTGTTGTGTAACAAAAAATAATCCTATATATATATATGTACGTTATGTATGTATGTATTTTTTTAATCTATATTTTAAAAAAAAAAAAATTTTTTTTTTTTTTTTTTT